CTTTTTCCATTAATATTTAACCCAATAAGGAGAATACCAATAATAGAGTACAAACAGTTCAAAAGAGAGCTCAGATCTCCTGTACGAGAAGAATTCTAAATAATTTACAGATATTTCCCACTAAAGGAGGTAGATCTTAATTCCCCATGTCCTGGGTATGGGTTATGCTTGGTGATTTGCTTCCAAAGAGTAAAGCACTAGAGGGAAGGGATGTGACTGTATAGTGGAGAAACCTGGCAAACTCTTCTCCATTCAGATGATCAGGATTACCATCGCCAGAGTTGACAGYGTGTACCCTTGATATGATGTGATAACAATGACATTTCACCTCTGTTCTCTTTCTCTAAAACCCCATAACTCTTTATTTAGGGGGAAATATCCAATTTGACTAGAGGGGTATCCTATAATATACCTGACCCATGTTTCTCAAAACCAGGAGCAAAATTCATCAAAAACAACTAAAAGCTGAGAAACTGTCACAACGTAGAGAAACACAATAACTACAGGTAATATGACATCCTGGGTGAGATCCAGAAAARGAATTTAAGGGAAAACTAACAAAATCTGAATAAAGTATGGAGTCAAAGTCCTGAGTGCTCATTCTACAGTTGTGACAGATGTAACAGTAATTTGAAGTGTTAAAATTGGTCTAAAGCTGGGAAACTAGGTGAGGGACATATGTACTAAGATTTGCAAACTTTCCTATAAATCCAAATCTATTATAAAATAAAAACCCAGGGTCTGGCACATACTAGTCAAGTGCTCTACCAATGAGCTAAACTCCCAGCCTAAAAAAAAAAAAAAAAAAAAAAAAAAAGCCAGATTACAAATAAGAGTGTGAAATCAAAAGTCCAAAGCCAATGATCCAAATCACACACATATATATACATATGTTTGTGTGCCAGACTCTGGGTTTGATCCCCAGCAGTGCCAAAAAATAAAGAAAGAAAATAAATCTGTTTCCTTTTTCTACACAGTCTTAATACATGTGGCAAATGTCTAAAAGTAGAATTCACATGGACTTTTCACACTTTGGCTTCAGATACCCCTGGTAAAGAGTGATTATCTCTTGGTTAATGGATTGGGTACACCTCCACACAAAGTGAAATCTGCATGGGCCAAATTGCATTACTTCAAATATTCCCTGTGATGTTGATGTGACATAATAACAGACAGAAACTTAATTTCACTTTTATAAATATAGTTTTGTTAGCATTATCTGATTAACTTCAATAGATAATTGTCCTGTATTCTTAAACTAAAATAATTTTTCTTTACGGATGTCTTCCAAAATTTCATTGTTTCACAAAATAATCCTTTGTAATTAAAGAACTGGGTATACAGAGATGAGAGATTTTGCAACTAGATAATCCTGCAAGATATATGATAAGCATTGACATTTTTCTCTGGCCATGGAAAGATATTAGGGATTGSATTTCTCTGTGGAAGGCCACAGGTCCTATTAAGTGTCTTTCCTCTAGCTGCAATTCTTGCTGGTTCCAGAAGAACACTGTTCCTTCTTCTTACCCCTTCAGAATGGAAAACACTTCCTGTTCTTTTCTATCCCTGGGTCTTTCACTACCCCTTGTTCGTTTACCTTAGCCTTTAATAAACCTGCTTAATGGTTCCTTCCTTCGTCTCTCTTCAGCCACCYCTTTGAACTATGCCATCTGTTTCCTCTCAGGATAGCTGCTTTGACACTTTCCCAAGTCAAAATTATTTCTGCTTGGAACCTAATTCTCATATGTATATTTTAGAGGACACAGAATTGCTTCTTCAGATATCCTTGAATCCATCCGMATGTGTGCAGAACTAGCATAGCTAGCTATTCATCCAAATGAAAGTTCTAATTTGGCCTTTCACTTTTCAATAAAAAGTATAACCTCACCATTTGCTCTTTTGATCTCTAGCCTATAGTGTCTTGGGTCAGTAATAAAGAATATCTATCCTGCAAGCCCTTGACAGGAACTAAACCTTGAATTGTCCCATTGTTCAACTCTTCTCAAAAAGCCCAGGTGAAATTTATTAGGATTGGGTGCTATATCCTAAGGCTATGCACTGATCTTTAGTAGAATGACTGTCAAGTCAGTACTTTGGGTCCATAATACCTCTGAGGTGTTTTGGGTTGTTTTAATGGATTCTGATTTTGTCAAGGGACAATTTAAGAAATTGCCTTAGAAACGCTAATATCACATTTGATATAGAAACATGGTGCACTATATTTTTTTTTTACTGTTTCCAGTGGTTAGTACAGAAATTCAGTTTTTCTCACCCTTTTTGTTCTGACTCCATTCACAAAGCCACATTCTGATATTTTTGTTATTCTGCCTACACAAAAAATATGCTATTTATATAGGCTTTAAGCTTTTCTTATAGTAAGTAAATTAACTATAGAAGAAATATGCCAATCATGCCCTCTGTGAGAAATTCCACTCCATGTCATGGAAATTCTCCTTATTATCATAACTAAATTAGTATTCTGGGTCTACCCCAATCTCATGTGCATTTTTGTWGATGTGAACCAATTTCTCAGAACCTAATTATCTTCCTAAGCACTGAAAAACAAAAATAAATCTCAGGGCTTTGAAAAAGGAGGCTAGATATCATCCAGCCTTTCCTAAAATAAAACATCTACCTCTTGCAGTTGCACTTCTACTTATTAACATACCCACATATAAAGTCTCAGGTAAGAAGCTCATTTTAGAGATAAATCTTAGGAAAAAAACTGTTTATCCAGAGAACTATGAAACATATTATATTTCCCTTCTCCATTATTTTCTCTTTACAATCCAAAGCTTAGTGTCAACTATAAAGGATCTTTTTGAAGTGGTTCTCAAACTTTTCATGTTGGTAAGATATAATGCTTTGTTGTTTGTTCCTGGTTCTGGGCCTTTCATATGCTAGGCAAGTGCTTTACCACTGAGCTACATCCCAGTGCCTCAAGATATTTTTTAATATTAGAATTTTGAGTGGCCAACTTGAACAAAAAATAATTCTGAATCAATTATTATGCCATCACAGAGGGCCTAAATGTGTCCACAACTAATTCCACTGCCCATATACTCCTCCATCAACATTGTAAGTATTGGGAATTATTCCTGCTCAGTGATTTCTCATATACCCACCCACAAGGCAAAGCTCTCTTATGTTCCAGTGAACTACAATCTCTTCTAATGCCAATTGAAAGCTATGCTTTGCCTTTTCTTCTAACTTGAAGCAAACTGTACAAATAGCTCCACCTTCATTACATATGATAGATATAACTGCTTTATGAARAAAATTAAAGACACACATCTATGAAAACTTTGCTACATATTATATAAGTACTCCAGTCAGGAACTTGACATAATTCGACTTTCTTTACTTCCAGTACTTTGTTTTTATTTACATTTTACTATTTTATTGCTTGTATGAATGAGAGTAGGTTTCATAAAATAAAACATTCAAGCCATGCTTTGGGGGTGCTTACTCTACTGCCCTCTGCCGGTAGGAGGAAAGAATAAGTGAGTCACAAACTATTGCATTACCTACCACAACATCCAGTGATTCTTATCCAATGGGAAGATTTAAAGCAGTTGATGATTTTTGAAAATCTAACCATTACCAACCAAACTTCATTCATTCACAGGAAATGCTTCCAATTTATTACAGGCCCTCCTTGTGGGAAGATTTTTGGCATCATTTTTGCTATTTTCAATAGATTTCTATCTCCTGCAACCGTATGTAAATAGACACAAAAGTCCTCTCTTATTCTAGGTCATGGCTGCAATCTCTTGGTAAATTTCCTTCCAGATATAAAATCTGGATCTGAGATTGAGTAAGAATAGAGACTCAATAGTTTTAATGATATAAAAGTGCAGACATTAAGCAATTCAACGTGTTTGTGCTGCATAATTATCAACAAATGTTGGAAGCCCTGTATTTCAGCAGTTGAGACAATCTGAGATTTTGCTTTTTTGTTTTTATTAAAAGCGTAAGGCAGCCTTCAGGATAACAAGCAAAAAGCAGCTTCAATTTTGTGCATAAAGGACCACTGATTATGCATGGATTATTTTCTTCAGTCACACTGCTTTGTAGGGATACCAATACCCGTCAGTGATGTCATCTTCTAGAACAGACCCGAATGTATGGGCATATTGTGCCAACTGGGTCCAAATCAATGACCTAGGTAATGCCATCAGAGCAACACTATTATTTCTTGTCTGAACCCTCCAAGCCTGTAGAAATAAATGCTAATCTGATGCAAGTTTAAGGAATGTGTTGTGTGGGAAAGAAAATCAAACTTTTGTTTACTTTTATTTACATTGTAATATGTACTTACAGAAAATGCATCACAGAATTAATAAATACATAATATGTTGTTTTATTTTTGTATTAGTAGCAGATTAAATAACTTAATAACAATCACATTTCCTCGGCTAAGAATATTGCTATCAAGGATATTTCCTAAAGAATCGATACTTAAATGTATATTCACATAGCATGACAGTACCCTTTTGCAACTGTGGAATCAGAGTGATTTGGCAGCATTCTTGATAGAGGAAGCAACATTGTTTCATTGATTGAGGTACAAAAAAATCTGAAAGATTTATAGCTTTTAGTTCCATCTCTGCTTGYTTTGAGATTCATTTGATTTATTCTATTTATCCTCATAATGAGCATAATAAGGACTTAAGCAGATTTAAAGTTTTTCAACATCTGGAAGCCTAAGCTTTCTGAAGTGAAAATGTTTCTTGAAAAGATGTAAAGGAAAGAGATCCAGTGGTTTAAGAGTATACACTTAGCGCCTTCTACAGAGTTGGATAGGTTCTGCGGAGAGACTTAGGGCTATTTTTGAAGCCTGCACATCCGGGACACCCTAGCCAAAGCCCCTTCCTCGTCTTCCAGGGGGCGGAGCCGCGGAAGGCAAAGGCTGTTCCGTCGCCCCGCCCCCCTTGCCGTTCCTGCCAGTTCCCAGGGGGCGGGGCCTAATCGACGCGCGGCCTGAATCCGAACGACAGCATCCCGGATTCGAGCCATGGCTGAMGGCTGCCGGACGCCTCAGGCTCGGGCGCTTCTGCAGCAGTGCCTGCACGCGCGACTACAAGTTCGCCCAGCTGAGGGGGACGCTGCGGCCCAGTGGGTGGAGGTAACGTCGGCCCGGCAGCTCTCGTTATCCTACGGCTCTCAGGGGCGGTTCTTTACGCGTTGTCTCGGTCACTCGGTCCCCGCCCCCACGGGTCCTCCTCGGAACCGAGTTGGAGAGCAGCTAGGTACCGCGGCTTGTGCTATGCGCTGCGCCGGACATCGGGCCGGTGCGCCAGACACTGCCCCGGCGGTCTAACTGGCTGCGCTTTACCTTTCTGTCCAGCACCACTGTTCCCGGCGCCAGACATTCCGACCAGGAAGAAAGTGCCTCTCTACTGGAGAGACCGCGTTCATTTGAACCTCTCTCAGTCCCCCTACCTGAGCTCGCTGGACTAGAGGCCTAGTGGTTTCAGACGCCCTGCTGCTCTGGCCTGGGCGGAGCTGGACTGGTTCAAGTGTGTAGGTTAGCTTGCTTCAAGAGTTTAGATCTACTTTGATTTATGCCCCACCTTATTATGTTGATTGTGTCTTGACCTTAGCACAGAAATGATATTTTCCAAGACACAGTTCTGTTTCAAGAAAGTTTTTATTTATTTTTTTGTTTTGTTTTTTCTTGCTGGTTGATCCGAACCCTGGCTTCTCCCATGCTTGGGCAAACTTTCTACCACTGAATTACCAAAAAAAAAAAAAAAAGAAGAAGAATTACAGTCCCCAACCCAAGAAACATTTTTTTGTTTGTTTATTTGAATTTGACTAATTTCCACCTAAAATAGATCACTCCTTGTATAATAATGTTGCACTGTTATCAAACACATTTCCTCCAAAGAATTATGAAATGTTTACGTTGAATTCCCMCTACTTGCGTACCTGCCTACCTGCCTTTTCCTGATGTCCTGTCTCCCATTACATTGCAAAAACAAGTAAAATGTTTTTTAAGTCCTTAGTCATATATGCGGAGTAAGTTAAAATATAAGCCGGGGAAGTCCATAATTAAGACTTTGGGTGATACTCAGAATCTTTAATGTAGGAAAATTTCATTCACACTGATCTCTGAATGGGTCCCAGACCTAGCRTTTCTTAACAATTCTAGTCATTATTTTAAACACTACACATGAACTATGATGCRTGGGTAATTATTTTTAAGACAGAATCTATTATCCTATGCTAATTTGGGAATTTTTATGTGCATAAAATTCCTGTATTCTCACCTCTCTTCAGAAATTCTTCCTATTTCTTATTTTTGTTGTAACCTTTTGTTGAGGTTTTAATTTCTCATGCATATTTGAAATTGTGTGGGTTTTATATTTATATATTTTATATTTCTATCTAGAGACTCACCTATTTAAATTGTTGCTTCCTAGCACTGTAAACTTCTAACTTATCATTTAGAGTATTTCTGAGCCTCTTTATTTTTTTGTGTTCTTCACACCACATTTTCTTATGCAAAACCAGAGATATTTTATTGCAGCCTTCYAAGCTATCAGTTTGTGTTTATAAACTTTAAAAGCTATTTTTAAAGACTTCCCTTCTCCCACACACAACTATATTAAAGAGATGACAAGTGATTACATGGTGAGAAAGCATAAATTCTTTCATCTTTCTCACACCTCCTCTACCCTGTTCTATTATCAAAGTTCTTTTTCTTTTTCTTTTTCTTTTTTAGAAATAGCCTTTTAGATGTTGAAAGATTTGAAAGCTGCTTTGCTTGTTCTTAGTTTCATTCATGTGGAACTATGCTGTCACAAATTTAATGTTTTTCTTCCTGGGAACTGAACATTTTTAAGCTACTGTGAGAATTATCTGTACTTTTCTTCATATTTGAAATGTTTTGTAACAAAGAAGCTACAGGAAAGTGACTTTGACTTGCAAAGAGAAATCTGATTTTTTAATACTTATTTTTTGTAGTTGTATTTGGACACAATAACTTTATTGAAATGTGGTACTGAGGATTGAACCCAGGGCCTTGCACGTCTGAGGCAAGCACTCTACTGCTGAGCCATAACCCCACCCCACACACACATCCCAAAAAAGGAATCTATATAACTTCAGACCTATTATTGGAATAAACAAAAAGAAAATAATGAGGAGGTAATTTGGTTACTGGAAAGAACAGGTATCTGTTTCTGGGAATTATTAGGTGCTTAATTCTGACWTTGCAAGTGTACAGCGGTGTATGCTAAAGATTTGAGCTCAGTGAAAAGGCTTGTGATAGTAGTGTAGCTTGCCAGCCCATCATTATGGGTATGCATGGGAGGCTCTTGCTTTTGATCCAGGGGCACATGTGCATTTTTTAAAAATGACTCCTTTTCCGGTAAATCAAGTATGATTGCAGAGCTGAGTTTATATTTACATAGAAAACCATTTAGATAACACATAGAGCCCAGATGATACAGTTGAATGTTAATACAATTAACAGATAAGTTGAGTCTTATCATATATAAAACAGTCCTATCTGTAAAGTGCTTTGGAAGTTAAAATGTTAAATAAATTGTGTGTTTGCCTTTAAATTTATTTATATATTCTCATAATAAACAGGTAGTATTTACTATGAACCTGGCACTGTGTTAAGCACTTTACAAATATTAACTCATTTAATCTCCATAATAACTTCTAGAGTCAATGAGGCTCCTTAATCAATTAAGTTAATACATAGAATCAAAAGTTGAACAGTTAACTCAGCAGCAGAATCAAAATTATTCTTTCTTATTGTCTCTTACAAGAGCTATTTTTTATACTCCTGATAACAACCMACCTTGTCATGTAGAAGTTATTAACAAATGTTAATAATTATATTTAAAGCAATAACCACAATAACAAAAAATAATCAGGGTTTCCTGGAATTTATACCTTGTTTTCACTATATAAGTAAGCGCATTAGGGGGAATAAAGAGGATGATATAAAAAGACATCAGTTACACTGTTGCTTATTTACCTCCTATCTGATAGAGTATGAATTCATTTGATGTTGAATAAATGGGCCCTGATATATAAATATTTCTTAAGTTTGTCTAAAAGTCCTATTGATTTTAGTAGAGGTAAATTGCTGTTGGTAGTATTTTTAAAAAATATTTTTAGTTATAGATGAACACAATGCCTTTATTTTATTTATTATTTTTATGTGGTGCTGAGAATCAAACCCGTAGCACCTGCAAGTGCTCCACCACTGAGCCACAACTCCAACCCTGTTGGTTGTATTTTAAGTGTAATTTTTTGAAAAATAATTTTGATTGAAACTTTAAAATATTTCATTTTCTCATATATTCATTTAGAAATCAAATCTATTGTAAGTCTTCTTTCTTTTCTTTGATTTGAACCTCCAAGTTTGTAACAGTTATAAAATTTTATTCACTTACCTCTACAGCTCTGTATAGACTTCTTTCTATTCTGAGCTTTCTGTRATGATTTCTTATAGGTTCAGAGAGGATTAGTGATCTATGTGTGCTTCTTCAAGGGAGCTGATAAAGAACTTCTTCCAAAAATGGGTATGTGTTTGATGTTTTTTTCTTTTTTTGAAGATGGAGAAAGAACAGCAATAGACCAAAAAAAAAAAAAAAGAGAGAGAGAGAGAGAGAGAGTGAGAGAGAGAGAAAGAGAGAAGCGCAATTATTTTCCCCCTGGTGATGGGGATTGAACCCAGGGCCTTGCACATGCTGAGAAAGCACTACCACTGAGCTACATCCCCAACCAAGAAGCACAATCTTATTTGTCCTAATATATGTTATTATTCAACTCTGTGTAGTATTGTTGGCTTATTTTTTTGCCTGTTGCAAAATTTAAAGTGTGCATGTATGGTAGAATTCTTTTAAAACATCTACAACATTTCAGATGGCTTATAAGTTGATTTAGAAGAGTAGACACACAGTTCAGCCAAGGATACAGAAAGTTGTTAGAAGCAGGGTGGCCACATAGGGAGAAACAGATGCTGTGTTTCTTAATATAGTTTCCATTATYCCCAGATAACAGAAGAGTCCATAACAAGCAGTGTATGACATTGTATATACAGAATGAGTCCCATCAAACCTGGACAGTTCAGATTTACATCATTGTTATCAAAGAACTTACATTGATCATTTATGTACTTCTTTGTAGGAATATGTATAAATACAGTTCTTCTGGTTCTTGAACCGAATACAATGTTATCTCAGCCACACCTCCTCTGGCTCCATAGAAAGCAGAATAAATGTTTAAGGACCTCTGAAAAATTTTGCCTGCAACTTTTGAAAATCCTGGATAATTCATAGCACTGCATATTCCTTATGATAATTATATAGGTTCAGATGTACCAAATCAACTAACATGCTGTCTCAATGCAGCATGTCTCAAATACAGTTCTAACAAATATGCATATGTGTGTGTTTGTRTGTACTTCATAGATATGAAATAATGGAACTATTCCTAAGATTGAGGGACAGCACCCATTATTTGGATTAGTAAGTATAAGCCRAACACAGTGGCATGTTCCTGTAGTTCCAGCTGCTCAGTAGGATTGCTTGAGTGTAGACGTTTCAGATCAGCCTAGGCAACATAGCAAGACCTTGTCTCAAGCTTTAAAAAAAAAAAAGAAAAAATGAAATTACACAAATGAGTAGTTGAAGCTTGCAGAAGTTAATCTAGAAGAGGTTCACATAATAGAACTCAAGGACAAATAGCTTGACAAAAAGTCAAGCTAATGAAGGGAATTTTATATTCATATATCAAACATGTTTGACAACTATGTCAAAGCATGAAACTATACTTAAGAAGGGACTGTGATGAGGGCTGGGGTTGTGGCTCAGTGGTAAGGCACGTGCCTTGCATGCCTGAGGCACTGGGTTTGATCCTCAGCACCACATTTAAAAAAAAAATAGATAAAATAAAGTTATTGTGTCCATCAATAATTAAAAAAAAAAAAAGAAGAAGAAGAAGAAGGGACTGTGATGAGTGAGATGGAAAGCTAGTAACTTTCAAGTTTGAAATTTGAATCCAGAGGATAATAAGGAAATTTCGAAGGGTTTAAGAAGAAAATGAGAAAATATTTTGTCGTTCTGACTTAAAGCTGACTTTCTAAAGTTGTTTCATAGAGATGTTTTGGGGGGTTTTGTTTTGTTTCGCTTTTTTTCCAGTAGTGGAGATTGAACCAGGGGGCCTTGTACATGCTAGGCAAACACTCTACCACTGAGCTACGTCTCCAGTTGTAAATAGATCTTTATCATAACAGCACAAATTAAGTCCACCAAATTCAAGCTCTATTTTGTTTTATAATGATTAAATCCAATGTGCTTCTGTCTGTTTCTACAATTGTGAGTGCACTTTAAATACATGTATAAGATTGTGGTGAATTAAAAATGCTTAAGAGGCCTGCCTTTACTCTTTTAGTGAATAATCTAAYACAAAACTTCATGATTTACAGTAAAGACCTGTATGACTCTCATTCTGATGGTCTGAGTTACAGGGAAAATAAATGCATCCATATTGATAGCATTAGTTTGTATTTCCCTGTATTCCAGGAGGCATAGTAAGCCAATGTTTTGGAATTCTCTTAAATCCCACCTCATATTTATTACATAGATTCAGATCTTTCCAATCTAATATTTCATCCCATGGGAACATAGCTAGTTATATCCTAAAATCTGAAATAGCATATCCAATATAGAGATGTGTAGAATCGTCTTCAATTCATCTTTAGTATAMTTGAACTGAGATCCAGGGATCTGTCAAAGCTTGATTCCCATATACATCATTGAAGATACTTGATTGATAACCTGTCTTAGGATCTTTGAGTTTCCAAYATTCATTTAATGCATTGTCTCATTTTAATTCTACTTACTTATATTTGCATTTRTATTGTACTTATATATACATATTTGTATACCTTCAGCATTGAATTCCCAGTAATAACCAGTAGAGGGAGGTGTGGGGAAGTGTAATAAATTATATTASATCCCATTGCCTGTTATTCCAAAATTGACTACTTAGTCTCTCCGTAGCCAGAGGCCTGCATAGCTGGATAGTGATTTTCATTGGAAAGAAGTGCTCTGGATAGTTACAGTTTCYTTAAAAGCAGTCAGTAGGATTGCTGGCTATATAGTAAAGTTTGATTTGTAATAGACAAAAATAAAGGCATTTAAAAATAAGTGATTGTTAAGTGAAAATTGAAGGTTCTTAAAGCATAGCTTGGGAATTTCTTTGGGTGTTTACCTTGGCAGTTTTTTACAAGGTTAATTTTATAATGTTTAGAGTGGGGTCACCTTACCAACTCCTTACTAATGTTTCCTATAAATCCTCCTATAATCAAAATCACTGACTACTCAAAACAGGAAGCATACCTTTTAAAATCTGATTTGAGGGCAGGAATGTAAGGTTTCTTTTTATCATTTGTTGTCTTTGAACTTTTCTTTACAAGCAGAATTCATTTATACCTTTATAGAAGTAGGGAGATACTGAGTCTATTTTAGACATTTACTTATTGTTTTGAAAATGGTCAATGTTGAGGTGTAAAGGTTTTCTAACTGTAGGGTTTAGCTACACTTAGATATTTATAGTGGTTTTGACACTTATTAGCTATAGTCTCATAAATGCTATAAAATATCACTGTTTTATTGTATGTATACAAAGATAATGCTAGTAGCCATATCTTTGAGTAACTTTTTCATTTCTGACAATGAATTTCACCTGTGTTTCTCCCATGGGTTATATTTATAAAATGGTTAGTCTAAGGTTATGAAACTATAAAATCAGCTTTTTTGTAATGAGATTGAACCTGGAAGCTTTGTCATATCTTAAAACTCTAGGTAATTTAAAGTTTAAAATAAAATATTTTTTAATTGTAGATGGACACAAATACCTTTATATATGTATTTTTATATAGTGCTAAAGATCAAACCCAGTGCCTCACATGTGCTAGACAGGGTATACCACCGAGCTACAACTCCAGCCCCAGTGTACTAAAATTTTAATTTTGTTACAGAGCAGAATTTTCTGAGAAGGATTTATAATGTTCTTTTCCAGTGGGATTTGCTTATGAAATAAAAGGAACAGGAAGATAAAATTTTGCCATGTATTCCCCTGAGACAACAATATTTAAGGTTTCATTGTACAGTTAATTCTTGAACTTTCTAGATGACTTATTGTTAGATAATCTTAGCTGTCAAGTCAAATTTTAAACATCATGCAGTTTTCTCCATGAAATTTGCTTTATTTTTCATGCTCATTTAGTTTAGTGAAGCACTTTTTAAAATTTAAATAGAGAGTGGTTTAGGAGCAAGAGCTAACAAACTGGGTTTTCAACATGAGATTTGCTAACTAAAAGATTAATGTTTATTCTTCATGTTTGTTTTTCACTTCAAATTGTTTTGTCTTTCTTCCCCATCTAGTTAATACACTATTAAATGTGAAATTAAGTGAGACAGAAAATGGCAAGCACGTCTCTGTACTGGATCTACCTGGAGACATTCTWATCATCCCTCAAGCCACCCTTGGTGGTAGAGTAAAAGGAAGAAATATGCAGTATCACTCCAACTGTGGAAAAGAAGAAGGGTTAGAACTTTATTCCCTATTTGTATCTCTCTGTGAAAAAGAATTAGCTGCAAACAGTAAGTGCACTGAAGCTGGGGTTGTAGTGGAACRTGGCACTTATGGGAACAGGCAGGTATTAAAGCTGGACACCAATGGACCATACACACACCTAATGGAGTTTTGAGAAATTAAAAGTTAGTTCCTACAGCTGTTTTGTGGTATAAAATGACCTGGACTATAATTAGATTTTCTTCCCCTTTGTCTCTTGAATATACTAATGTATAGCATTTTCAGATAAGAAAATCTTGAGTCCTGTAAGTAATTGCAACATGCTAATCAGATGACCTTGTCAAGTCACCTAAACTCTGGAGCTCAGTCACTCTGTCCTGCTTTCTACCATCCTTCCACTCAAGTATTTGAAAAATCCTTGTTTATTCACTTAATCATTAAAGAAGCCTTTTAAACCATATYTTAAAGATTATATACATTTTATTTTGTAATGAAGTAATGTGTACAATTAAGAAAAACACATTTCTTATACCCTCAAATTTATGTACTGTGTACTAAAAGTAAAAGTCATTGTATGAAAGTTGAGGTGAAATCCAACACAAACCAATTATAACTTTGTCGATTTTGTTTCACTATTTCAGTTTTCTTTTTTTGGGTGTGTGGTGCTAGGGATCAAAGCCAGGGCCTTGCACATGCAGAGCACATGTTGTGCCACTGAGCTATCTTCCCAGCTCAGTTTTCTATATTTTGAATGAAATAATATGTAACTTACTATTMCTTTTAATAATATCTATGAAAATGTAATGTAGAAATGTTATTGTACATTATATTACTTTCCAAGGACATCTAAATGCTTTAGATTATTTTAATAATCTTTAGTACCTCATAAATATGTACAATTATTATGTGTCAATAAAAATTTTTTTAAGTAAAAAAATATTTAGTTGATATAGGAATCAGGTATAAAACATTCATAGTTGTTTTTATTAAACATATTCACAAAGAGAGATTAAGCTCTGTTTCCTAGTGTTCACCAAAACCATGTATGTCTCAGTTTCTATCTTTGGTTTAAATTACTGAGTTCATAAATTTTTTTAGAAATTTCCTTTCTTGTTGAATTAGATTGCTATACAAGGAAGAAAAAGGGAAGCTTTCTCAGGAAATTGTTTTTAGTTGACTTGTATTGATTAATTGTTTTTAATCAATTTTGTATTGATTTAATGATTTGGAACCATTGTCAATTTTTCTGTTAGTAAATGTTAATATACTAAATATTTGTGCCCTCCCCCCAAATTTATATGTTAAACCACTAGTCCCCACTGTGATAATATTTGGAGATGAGGCCTTTGGAAGGTAACTAGAGTTAAGATGAGGACTTGGGGCGTGGGACCCTCATGATGGGATTAGTGTCTTTAAAGAAACACCAGAGAACTACCTCTCTATACTCTCACCATRTGAAGATGTAGTAAAAGTTTTTCCAAGGAGATGTATGTGTCTTTTAGATGACCACAAGACATATACAAAGCTAGGAAGAGAGCCCTCATCAGAACTGATAATGCTGTTACCTTGATCTTGAATTTCTAGCCTGTAGAGCTGTGAGAAAATAAAAATTTTATTGTTTAAGTCACTCAGCCTGTGATATTTTTTTGTGGCACCTCGCGCTGACTATGACAATGATGTAAGATAACAGCTAACACAGTAAACTTTTCAAAGGAAAATACACGAGAAACTCTTAGAAGAAATGAGTCTGTAAAAGGTAAGAATTGTAATGCAAATAATAATAATAATAATAATAATAGAGCTCATGTAAAAAAAATAAAAATTTTAAAAATAGGTAATAAATATATGGTTTTTGCATACTTCTATGACCTGATTTAAAAGATGTTATTTAACAGTGAAAACTAAATATTTCTGATTACCAAAAAGATGAAGAAATTAACTTAAACATCTTAAGTAGCCACTAAAAATTCCTTTATGTGATAATTTCCGTAGGTTTTTGTTCCTARTATACTTAAAATTTCTAATTATTACACAATAGCCCATTTTCTCTCTACCCTTCCTGTACTATTCTATTTTGGAACTTGAGAATCAATAACTGGCTTGATAATGAGCTCATTGTCCTTAACTTTTACTTTATTGATTCACAATACACTTATTGAAATGTAATAAACTATTCATAAACTTGCAAACTCCAATTTTCTGAAAAGCTTCTCCAAGGAGATGTATATGTCTTGCCAAAAGATTGTATTACCTATTTTAAATCATTTTGATTGTATGTCTAGGTAAAATGCTGACTCACAACCCTAGATTGCTATTTTATAGTCCAAGCAATTCTCTTTTAAAAACTTGRTTGAGACACTTGTGGAGAATAGCAATTTCAAGTACACAAAGAGTTATTAAGCACAAGGTGATGTTCAGCTTTCCTTCATTTGCAGGGAGGCTACAACAAGAGGGAAAAGACAAAAGAAAAGGCATATGAAAATAACTTCGCCTTGGCTCTCTGTAGCTCTTCTGACTCAAGGTGCTCAAAAACCTTCAATATGTTTCTTATTTTATCTTCAGGGTATATCTGTAATGAGGATAGTACTCCTCATTAAATAATGTTCCCAAGGTCACACAGTAGGGAGGAATAATTTCCTTCTTTTAACCTTTCTTGTAATGAAACTTACYAAAGTTGAAATTGACCTTGGGAAAGGCTTATTGTCTCTCATTGTGGATTATTTAAGGAGTAGTCCATAAATTGGTTTATTTACTAAATTAAATGCAAGTAGGGTTGCATCTAATTTAGGAGCCTTCTGCATCTTCTTTGTTAAGATTTTAGAATGTTTCAAATAGGATACAATTCCTTTTTTAAAAGTTTTATTGGGCGGGGGGTGGGGGGGGCTGGGGTTGTGGCTCAGCAGTAGAGCACTTACCTTGCATGTTCAAGACCCTGGGTTCGATCATCAGCACCACATAAAAAAATAAAGGTGTTGTGTCTAACTACAACTAAAATAATAATAATAAAAGTTTTATCTGTCAATTTAGAAACCTCCTGGGTTTAATTATGAAAATATTGTGTAAAGAYAATAGATGTGGCTTTAATATTTTGAATACACTCATAAATTAAAATGAAATACACTTTTACCACTCCTTAATTAGTTCACATTATAACAGAAGACATGCATTTTATAAATAATATCTACACTAATGACTTGTAAATTAGTAATTTGTTGATTCTATAATGAAGGAATTAAACATCAAATATCAAGATCAAATATAGAATTCTATGCCATTTATTTTGGAGAATAAGAAATGTTGGTGTTATAAGAGAACAGAGTCATGTCAGATATTTACTATCTGTGATTAACATTGCAGAGGACCTAATGTAACGAAATTTATATAATTAAAAAACTGTACGTGATTATGAAACTTCAGTTTATTTAGAAGTGTATTGTCTATTGATTCATTGAAATACTAGTTTCTGCAAGGGGAAAAACTACTAGAAAAGTAACATTTTCATTCTGAAACCATATCTTGGTGATGACTTTTATATTTTATATTTTATTTAGAGACAGGGTTTCGCTGAGTTACTTAGAGCCTTGCTAAATTGCTGAGGCTGGCCTTGAAATCTCGAGCCTCCTGCCTCACTCAGTCTCCCAAACCACTGGGATTACAGGATTACTGGGGTGTGCCACCGCTCCTAGTTTAAAATGTCTTTATGTTGATAGTCTCCCTATTAATTTTCCCTCCTATTGTTCCTATCTCTAACTCTTTTCTACAGACTGTCTCCAAGGAAGTGTTCTTAGAACATGTCTGTAATATTCTAATGCTTAGAAACTTTCATAACTCTTCTTTATCATGAGGACAAAGATTAAACTTCTAAGGTTGGTATCAAGGCTCCCAGTGCAATCACTCAGAACTACAGAAAACCAAAGTTAGAATCTTGAGAAATAACATTTAAAAAGGGCAAAATATGAGAGGTGATTGGAGATTCTAGAGATATCAGAGAGGCAGAGAAAGAGCAAGAAAAATGCATTGTTAAGTAAAGGTATTTGCAGGGTGTAAACAGTGACAAGTTTTTTGTTGTTGTTTATTTTGGGAATAAGGGTTTTCAGCCATCTCAGCTGCACACACCATAATCAAGAAGCAGAGACTAAGCTCTGTTCACCAAATGTATACCTGAAAGGCATGCCTCTAATGGCCCATCTCTTTCAACCACACTGTAGGCCCACCTTCAGTTAACATTTAGCTAATCCCTATCAGGGGATTAATTCACTGATTGGGTTAAAGCCCTCATAACCCAATCATTTCACCTCTGAATGTTCTTGCATTGTTTCACACATGAGTTTTGGGGAGACACCTCACATCCAAGCCATAACACCCAGCAACTCAGGAGACTGAGGCAGGAAGATCATAAATTCAAAGCCGCTTTGGCAACTTAACAAGACCATGTCTCAAAATTAAAAAGGGGGCTGAGGATGTAGCTCAGAGGTAAAGCACCGGTGCTTTACCGGTTCAATCCCCAGTACTGCATGGTAAAGGATAGGAAGAATCTCAAGAGTCAAAAATGTGTCTAGTCAGTCACCAATCTCCCACCTCCCAGGCAGTTYTTGCATACACTCAATCCCAGAAACCACTGTTACTCACAAGGAAGTCCAGACTTTTAAGACTAGTTTATGTTTTATAACCTGGCTATAGTTTAACTTTCTAATCTTTTCTCCTGCTATTCCTGTACAGAAATTTTCCAGTATGGCCCTAAGGATATTTGTCTTAGGTCTTACCCTTACCTAAATTGCCCTCTGAGGCTGTCCTCTAAGTCCATCATTATTCCATGTCTAGCTCAAGTCAATCTCTTTTGAAGGTAGAGATTACCTCTATCTCCCTTGGCATTATCGTTGTGCCAGTCTTGACAGTTGTAATGTGTTTTATGAGATTGAGTACTTTGATTTTTATTTTTTTTTGTATTTTCATATCTTAACTACAAGAGTACAAGTAATAATGCAGAGAAACTGAATAGTGGTAGATAGACTTAGTATAGTACAAACATTTTATCTCTCACAGTACTTCTTTAATGCTCTGCCTATTGTATAGGCTGAGTAATTCTCAATATTCTCTGAATTAATATGGAGATACATCAGTGGCTAGAATACTCTTAATTTGGGTTAAGTTATACCAGCAGTTCATACATGGTTGTTAAGGAATAAGTTGTTAAGGAATAAGTTAGTTGTTAAGGAATAAGGAGAGGTTGGACGTGCAAGAACCAAGTTTAATACAGCTACATCTTGTATTAATATACTAAATAGCACCAGAAAAGGTGAACGTAACGTACAATGAAGGATTTTTTAATTTCAGCACAAATATGGACATTRTTGCTTCTTTTTTATTTCTGTGTTATATCAAAATGGTCACCTTACATTTTCTAAAAGCTTATTGAATAATATCCTAAAAAAATATAGTACAACTGAATTTATATGAAAGATTTATACCTAAAAAAAGGTGTTCAAAAAGCAAATCATTGTTATAGACATGGAAAACTATTATTTAAGAAAGCTTGTATTTAAGTCTTCCATAAAATAAACTTTTGAAACAAAAACGTCTCTATTTTGTTTATAATAATGAATTTTTGAATCTTTATTAACCCCCCCATATTTAATTATGAAATAAAACAGTTCCAATGGGATATGTTACAAATAGCCAACAATGAGATAAGTATGACTCTAGTTTATACTGTACTTTTCCATATGAATGAATTCTTTGCACTGTATTAGCCAGCATTTTTCTCTAAAGCTTCATAAAATTTGACCTATGATCAGTTTTTTATCTGGATGAAAAAAGGATTTATGTA